GTGATAGGGAAGAATCCACCGGCTGTGAGTTGACACGGTCGCATTGACTTCATTATCATAATGTTTATATCTCTCCGCAACATTCTTCCAGATTCATTCATCGGCAATATGGTCCAGCATCCTGAATACGATGCCATGTTGATGTTGGAGCTTTCCTCAACTAAACCATGGCAGATATATGTGAAGAAAATGACGTAGATAAAGGTACCGATCATGTGGAAAAAGAAAATGAGGCGTGTCCCGGTAGGTACGTCTGCCTGTATGCAAGTAAGACGAAATTTCGGTATATCTTACAAAAACAAAGACAAACAGAACATATATTTTTTTCAATGCTTTTAAATGTCCAATCAGCTGCCGAAGTGAATCACACATATTTCATCATTGGTTGATAGTCATCGCGAACGAAACAAAACGTTACAAAATAAAGATAAATAAATCCCTCGCACTAACACCATCATGGTGATTCTACGATTATGCGATTATCTATTGCGAGTCGACATGACAGGACAACTCTTTTTTCTTCTGTGTCATTTCAACTTCCGGCAATATTAACATTCGACAACATCTTATTTCTCAGCGTCCGTCGGGTAGGAAAAATCAAAGGAATGAAATGCTCATTGAGCAGACATACCAGAATTATTTCATACGAGTCGAAACACATCAGCACGCTAATGATGACCATATTGCTGAGGATCGGCAGCGTAAAGATGCCTTCAAATCTGGTGTTGTATTCGATTAACGACTGATGCTTTCGGATACACTTCTTCAGGATTTCGTAGCATTTGTCTGAGTAAGCGACGATATCCGTTCCCTTGTCAATGTCCGACCATAAATTCAATAAAGTGTTCTGCAGTATACGAAACTGATAGACCACGTGCATACTCAACACGCACAAGATAGTCTCGGGACATATATAGATTATGGCAATAACCTGCACGGCCAGTATCTGTGTAAATATCATGTACTTGAAGAAAGTGACTGTGACGTGTGCACATGTCGTTATCGTGTTTTCAAGAGTTGTAAAACCAGTAACTGTGCAGTTTAAAAACGTAACGCAAGTTTCAAATATCGTATGTACAAGTTAATTCGTGGTTTATGTCGTGAATTGATTAACTGTAACTTTTGTTCAGAATTCGAGTCGTTACAAGTTTTTGAAAATTCTGAGTTAGATATATTTGTAACTTGAAAAAAAAAACACTGCTGTTCTGTAATGTTTTTTTTGCATTTGAGTCAAAATTTTGGTAAATGCACGTTTATATGTGACAAATTCATTAGAAGAAGTGATATATGCATAATTCATAGAACTTTTTTAATTTATAGAACATTGGGAACTTTCTCATACGTGGCTCATTTGCCAAATTTTGGCCTCTTCAAATTATATTCTCATCTCAGCAGTATGTATTTTAAAAATGTTTTAAAAAGCGTTGGAAAAATTATATATTGTTGAGATTCAAAAATGCCATCGTTTCTTTTGGAGAGAGACGTACGAAAAGTGACAAAAATTGCTTCCTTAATGATTGAAATGTACTTTATACATTTTGAAAATATAGGAAAAATCCACGAGGGAAGCGCCACAGAATTAATTTGCATATTCGTCAATGCACTGGAAAAATG